CTGCTTCTATGTATTTACCCAAGGAACAAAACTTAGGTCACATAGAAACATGTATGTAAATATTTATGGCAGTTTCATTGATAATCACCAAAACCTGGGAACAACCCAAATGTCCTTTAACTGATGAATGGATGAACAAGCACTAGTCTACCCATACAATAGAATGCCCCAGGGCCACAAACAAGAGCAAATTACTGATACACACAACAACAAGGATGAAGCTCAAATACATTACACATAATGCAAATGAACAAAGCCAGATTTCCATTTATATGACATTGTGTAAAAGGCAAATCTATAGGGATGAAGAACTGAGGGTGGTCGCCAGGGTTACAGGGTAGGTGGAGTATTTGAATACAAACGGTTTGAATAGAAAGCAGTTGCTGTGTGTTAATGGAGCTGTCTGGTATCCTGATTGTGGTGGTGGTTACACTGGCCTATGTCCGGTCTCATAAAACCGTACATAAAAAAGAATACTGTGATGTACGCTTATTAAAAATAAATTTACAAAAGTCACATATTGTTTGCAAGGCACGCTTTTCACTTTTCAGCCATGCCAAAGAGACACCCCACAAGCTCAATATGAGATTGCTGTCACGGGACGGCACCCTGCGGCAGCAAGTCTGCAGCCCTTCACCCTTCACCACCCTTCCGCCACACTGCTGTGGAGGCATGCAGACTGCTTGCTTTGTTTCCAGCCTCCCCTTTCCTGAGCTGTGATCTCCTCTTGTAAAGAAGGCAGGACCTGGAACGCACAGGAGGGAAATGGGAGCATAGTGATTTGCATACTCTAATTAAACTGCTGTATCACGAGCTTTCTTTCTTTGGTTATACTGGAATGGAAACAAAGGTGTGCCTCTCCTTCCAAGTTTGGAGTGTCATCCTTGGGAACCGGCATGAATAAAATAGACCAGGAAGGCTTGCGTGCCTTACAACCTTAAAGCAGCTGTCTGTTGCACAACTTAAGGGCAGAGCACCTGGCATCACAGTCCTTCGTGGACTGGCCTTTATCTCAGGTAAGTGGGGCCTATCCGGTTGGATCTCTTCTTGACAGGTGTGCAGGCAAAGATGAGAGCCTGGCCCATGGGTGAATGATTGCTTCTCATCCATGGAATTCACTTTCATATTTGAAATGCCGCATAATCTGGGGGTGGATAGAGCACTGAATTGGAAATCCAGGATACGCAGACTTCGTGGGGACCTCGCTGCCCATATTCAGGTGAGCAACTTAACACTTTAATGCCTGAAATAACTCACGAGGGGCAATTCGTCATAAAAATGCAGACAATTTACACATGGTTTAAGTTTATAAAGTGCTTTCACACAGTTTAATCCTTTTAATCTTTAGGTTCAGATGGGGAAAGAATGGCTGAGTGCCATTCAGTGTTTGGTTTTATAGGACGGGAGATGTCTCAGCTCTATATTCACTCTCTTAAGATCTTTTAGTTAATGAAGCAGATTTGATCCCAGACTTAGCTCATTCCCAAATCACAGAATTTGAGATCTGCCTTTTTCTTTTTCTTTTCTTTTCTCTTCTCTCTCTCTTGTTTGTTTGTTTGTTAGAAAAAAAAAATACATTATAGGGGCTCAGTCATTAAGCGTCTGCCTTCAGCTCAGGTCATGATCCCAGGGTCCTGGGATCAAGCCCCGCTCCCTCTCCCACTCCCCCTCTTGTGTTCCCTCTCTCACTGTCTCTCTCTCTGTTAAATAAAAAATAAAATCTTAAAAAAAAAAAATACATTATAGATGAGTTAAGCAAGGTCCAGAGATGAGAGTGGGTAAAGGTCATTCAACCTGTAAATTGCATCCTTAGAAAATTAGGCCACAGGCTTGGGAAATACAATGCTAGGGCACCCAGTACTATATGGATGGTGTTCATAACATCTGTGTAAGACGCTGAATTACATTGTATCTATACTAACAGTTGAGAAAGAATAAATAGAGGCAATTTATGAGGTGCTTTGAATTCTTTAGGGCCAATAATGTCATTACAAATGGTGGTTAATGGAACATAAAGAGAAAATAAAAATAAAAGAAGACACAATTTCAGTTGGGGTGGTGGGTTAAAATTCAAGTTAGGCATACTGAAGTGGAAATAAATTGAAATAACTTATTAATCCTAAAGTTAAATTAGAGATGTAATTGTATAGTCAATTCATAACCTTGACTATAAATAGGTTTTTTCCCTTCTGTCCCTACAGTGGTCTAGCAGTGGTGTCTTCCTGTGCCCCAGCACTCACGTGGAAAGCATGGTAAGGACACTGAACAGCCACATCTCATTCTACAATCCTAGGTAGTTCTTGAACTAAAGAGAATCAAGACTCTTTGGAGACCATCAGGGAGAGGCGAATTTACCCCTACCCCTGTTGGTTCTTTTGGCTGGTCTAATAATTAAATTAGCATAAGACAGATTAACAGGAGAAAATCAAATTTAATTCATACTTATGGGAGGTCATAGAAATATGAGACCCAAGGAAGTGACCAAAGCAGGCAGTTTTTATACTTTTTAGACAAAGATACAATAAATCTGTAGAACTAACAAGACAAGACACTTAGGCTTGGGTACTAATTAGTACTAATTAGTGAAGAAACTAAGCAGAGTTTATTTATGCAGTGTCTGGGCCCTGAATTCCCTGTTTCTAGTGATAAGGATGTCTCTCTACCTCCTGGTGCAGGGAGGGGACCCTTAACATGAGAGATTTATTCCTGCTTTCCCGGGGACAGAGAGGAGAGTCAGAATGTCCTTCCTGCACCGGTTGTTTCTCAAGTAACTTGAGTCAAAGTAATCAATATGCCACTTTGGCATATTTTGGGGAAGCTTGCCCTGAGCCCCATCAAGATCAATTTCCTGCTCTTATAAGAACACCAGTCATGGGGCAGCTGGGTGGCTCAGTCGTTAAGCATCTGCCTTCAGCTCAGGTCATGATCCCAGGGTCCTGGGATCGAGCCCCGCATCGGGCTCCCTGCTCAGCGGGAGGCCTGCTTCTCCCTCTCCCACTGCCACTCCCCCTGCTTGTGTTCCCTCTCTTGCTGTCTCTCTGTCAAACAAATAAATAAAATCTTAAAAAAAAGTTAAAAAAAAAAGAACACCAGTCATTTGGATTAGGGTCCACCTTAATGACCTCACTTAAATTTAGTTACACCTTTGAAGATCCTATCTCCAAATACAGTTGTATTATAAGGTCCTGGGGGGTTGGGACTTCCAATTATGATTCAGAGAAGGATACAATTCAGCCTATAACATATTCTATATCACAGATGTAATGAAGGAAAAGTGCAAAGACATCAGGTTGCAGGAAAAGACATGTCTGGGGACATTCTTCTTGACATAATAAGTCACTCATGATTCTAAGAGGAACCCAGGTAAGAAATAGCTGCTAGGGTTTGAATCACCTTGAAGTCCCAACTGTGTCCTTTGTTCAGGTCAATAATCAACTCACAGATAACTCTACAAGTTCCATAGGTCTACTGTAATCATTTTGTTTGGTAGGGGACTGTAACTTGGAAAGATGCATTAAAATATATTAAGGTACATAAATAAATAAGAAATTAGCTAAATCTATAGAATTACTAATTTTCTCATAGGTTGAGTGTAAATATAAATGTTTTATAATTATTGTGATAATTTGTGAATATCATGCTTATTTTAAGGTGTCTGAAGCACTTAGGGGAATGTGGCACATTAAAGCTTATGCTTTTATTGAGACAGGAATTTGACTAAGATTTGTAATTAACTTTTAACTGTCTAAGAGGATTAGTAAAGTTTACATTTTGATTTATTAGTTGTGTAAGCTTAAATGTTTAGAGAAATTTCACTTAATATACTTATAGGTATAATTACATTGAACACTAAAGAAAATGCAGGTAATGTATTTGATTTTCTACATACACAGAAACCGCTTCAGAGGTAATTCTCCTAGCAGGAGTCCAGAGGTGGTTTGGAGCTGGAAATAGGCGTGATGTCAACAGTCCTTGGCACAGAGGGATGTGTGGTGTGAACTCATGGCCCTCATGCTCAGCCTTCCCCTTCCCACCTCCCAGGACTCCTGGCTGTTAATTCCAGTGTAAAAAAAGAGGTTGAGTTTCACTCAAATATATATTTCACTAACTTTACTCCTTTGATTCTGCCTCATTAGGAAATACTGTGGCTATCCCTATACTTCTTAAAGGGGTGGGGATTGGGGAAGATAATTTGCCACCAAAGTGGTTTGAATCAAAATTGTTCCTACAATCACTCACTGACCTTCAATAGCCGCATTTGTGCTCCAGGTTTTCCCACACCCTTAACTTTGTTCATGTCACTACCTCCTCTTCTAGTACTTTCTCCATCCATCTTTACTCAGAGGTGACCCAAAGCTTGGGTTCACCCTACAAGAAGACATTAATAGTATACCCAGGAAATTTCTCTGGCCCAGAGTCTGCTGTTGATGAGAAAATTGATTCAATAAATTTAATTCATTAAAAGTGTCCATGATTCAAAATATTACTAGAGTACCCCATTACTATTTGCATTTCAAAATAGGGCTATAAAGAAAGCACATGCTTAATCTGAAAGAGTTATCTGAATACTGGACATGAGTTCAAATCAGCTTTTTAAAATATATCCATGTGCCCATGATTATGCTATGTACCATGTTCCTAGTTTTAGTCATGGCATCACTATTTATGGGAAACTTAACCACATAGAAATTAATGCCAGTAGCTATCATGTTTTGAGTACCTCCATAAGTGCTCTTTGGTACTTTGTGTACATCAATACATGAAATACTCCCTCTACCCAGTGTTCCATGTCTTATTTTCCTGAATATGACAAATAGAGAGTTAAAAATGTCAAGGTAGTTCTCATAGTAATATCTGGGTAGAGTTGAAATTCAAATTTTGGTCTTATAAGCTATAAATCTATTCACTATAAATCTAGGTCACTTTTTACAATGATTCACTGTTGTTTTACCCCTTGAATCTAGGTTTCCCTTTGGTGAAATAATCATAATGATACCTACCAGGAGATCCCTGCGCATCCAATTACATTGATATGAAGAAAAGGCATTCCTCTTTCCATGGTGAATTTCAGGGTGGCTGGGCATTTTCAAACTTCCAGGCTACTATGTCCCCAAAACCTGGTTTTACATATATTTGTGTTAATAATTATATTTACATTGGTATTTATACATCTATAAATACTAGAGGTAAGCTTGGCCTGTCTCTCAATTTGGGGCAGAGTGTGGCTGGACAGTGAGGTGGGCACCCATTTACCCTTCCACTTGGCTCAGTATCAGGGTCTAGGTTTGCCATTGCTCAGAGTAGGGTTGACAGATTAACAAATACAAATATAGAGTTTCCATTACATTTAAAACAGGTAAACAATATTTTTTAAGTAAAATTATGTCTCATGTAATATTTGTAGGGAACATTGGGGCATACTTATAAAAAAATGTTATTTATTTGAAATTCAAATGTAAGTGGGCATCTTCTATTCTATCTAGCAACTCTGGTCATAAGCCCTGAGTTAGAATTGGCAGATCTCACCACAGATAGGCTCTTCCTAACAGGGAACTGACACATCAGATATGAACAGGCCAGTAGACAGAGGGCCAGGCTGACCCTCAGTGCCTGCCCCAAAGACAAAGAAAAGGAAAAGACAGGTACCAGTTACAAAGGACAAGATTAAACATCTCCAGTGTTTATAAAGGAGTTGGCCCTCTAACAAAAAGGATAGTTTCTTTTCCTATCTGATACTGACCTGATTTTCTTCTTTTATTTAGAAAAACAGACAATTTTGCTTTTCTGCTCAACTCAAATTTGGGAAACTTCTAGGTTGCTATCAGCTCAACTCCTTATTATTATTTTTTTTCTTGTTGTGGAGTCACATGCATTCATAGTACACTAAAATATGCAAAAACGAAAAAATATACCTTTCTATTTCTATTTCTTATTTAGTCTTTCTACTCCAGTGGGTCCTGGAAGAGCATCTAAATTTAGTCCAATCTGGAAAGCTAAGTCCTATCTAATAATTGAAGTGATCTTTTTGGAATAACACATTTCTTTAGTGTTAAATGTTTTCAGCATTAAATAGTCTTTCAGATTATTTTCCCCATACCCCTATTTTTCACCAAGATGTGGAAGAGGGGCTCATAGATCCATGAGTCTGCACTGGTAAGAGCCAATGACCAGTCTGGGGCGCTCCCTGAACGGAAGACTGCCCAGGGGTCAGCATGTGAACCTCATGCCTGGAGTTCCGAATCTTGGCTTTTCTACTGAGAGACAAGCGTCCTTTCACACTGCAACCTCTTTCAGGGAATGACTCGCAGCATCTGCTGGACCATCTGTGCTCTCAGTAATGTTCCATTCCCTCCTCGTGTCAGTGGGGAACTTCTGGATACTGTCACTAGCTCCTTGGAGTCAGCTGTCTAGCCTTCTCCCTCCACTTCTGTTCAACCTCACCCACCTCTGCTCATGCAGTGTGCCATGGAGAGTGTTTCTCCTGGGGGATGGCCGCTTTCTGAAGCTCTTCCTGGAGAACCATGTCACTGGTTCCTCATTATGTTCTGAGTTCCCCCAAACCTTCCTGAATGTGTTCCAAGCCCTCACTCTTGCTGGGGCCAAATGAAGACCACTCCATCTTAGTTGCTCGGTCTACTTCTGCCGCTGATCAATTCCCCCAAATTTGCTGGGGTCCAAAGAGGCACATTTTAACCTTCACTATACCATGCCCTGAGTTCTGTCTACCTCAGTAATTAGAAAGTAGGTCCCACTTGGCTCTCAATCTCCATGAAGCCTACTCAGAACAGTATGTTTCTTTGTAACAAAGCCTGACTATAGAGATCCAGCACCAGAACTCAAGTCAATTGATGGTTTCTGTTCAAGGCAGGATTCTGGGGTGATAAACCTCATGGTCTATTCTTGGAGGTGGAAACCTGCAAAGGGCATTATTTGGGGCCAACTAACAATCCATTATTCCTCTTACGCTCCTCCCACGGTTCTCTGAAGGATGAAAGACCTTGTTCTACAGCCTTCCTCTGGCTGCTCCATGCTCCCACATCCTTGCTTTCCTTCCCCAAATACCTCTTTCCTGGTGCCTTTGTCTTTGCTAGTCCTTCTGTCTTGGGCGATCTTCCTTTCCCTTCACTCTTGTGCCTTTCCCCCCTTCAGATCTCTGCTCCCCTTGCCTCCTCCCAGAAGACAGCCCTGACCACCGTCTATAATTATCTGAGATTTCTTTCTTTATCCTTAGGTCTCATCCATTTCCCTTCATCTGTAATGTAACTTGCATCGTGACAGGAACATTTCCATTTGGTTCATTTTTGCATCTTCAGTGCTTATCACATAGTAGGTAATCGTAAATACTCGTTGACAAAGATGAGATTTATCCCATGTATCTACACCCCCATCCGCAAATGATAGGTCAGCTAGAACGGTAGTTTTGACCAAGCTGCCACAAAGGGACCCGTGTTATATACTGGCATCGTCCTCAGTCACTTACATTCTTTCTGATTTTTGAAGCATGCTGATACATGTCACAAACAGAGACACCGGGGCTCGGAGGAGTTAATTTTTGCCTGAGGTCACTCAGATTGAATGTTAATAAGTGGCAGAGCTGAGGACAGACCCAGATACGTCAAACCTTAAAGTTTTCTATCATATTATACTGCCTTTCAAATAACAAGAATCGTGCTTTAGTTTTACAATGTGCTTTGAGGTACTTTGGGACGTATGAGGCGAATTAAGATAACTCTTGATTTGGTGTCGGGATACATAGATCTGAAACCAGGGTGGCTCAGCCTTGGCAGTATTAACATTTTAGTGCAGACACATCTTCGCTAAAGGGGCTGTTCTAGGCATCATGGGGTGTTTAGCAGCGTCCCTGACCCTCTACCCACTGGATGCCAATGCTGTAATTCCTCTGTGGTGACGGCCCCCGATGTCTGAACATGGCCCAAGAGGCAAAAAGACCCCTGATTGTGAACCAGGGCTTTCCGCCGATGCCCACCCTTTATGTGATCTTGATCAGTTCATTGACTTTCTCTGAGCTCCGTGACCTGCTCTGTTCAGCAGGAATTGCAAGTTGGGCCGGGCACCACAAACCTTATCAGTAGCTCTATGAAATTAAAGGGTGTTACACTTATTGAGGGCTTATTATATGCAAAATATCATGCTAAAATATATATTTTCTTGTTCAGCCCGGCGCACAACACTTTGACTCTGCCTCTGGAGAAATTACGTAAAGTGACAAGTGTTCATCATTTTCAAGCCGCTCAAGCTGCCTTGCTGGGGGCACAGAAAGACAACCAGCTTCCAGGGGAGGGAATCGAGCCTCCCCCGCAACTTTCAAAAACCACAGGAGAGAGCGAGTCCCCAAGCTGCACAAAGTTCCTTTGAGAAGGCAAACGTGGGTTTATTTTAGCTCCTTCCGGAGAGGGAACGGTGGGCTGGGAGACGCTGCCCGAGGGCACGGCCACCAGGGTGTTATGTGGGCCATCTAAAGGTCCTGGGGCAGGAGGGGGAGGCCGGGTGGCACTGAATCAGCAGCTCCTCTGTTCTCCATGTTTAGAAAGTAGAAAGTGAGGCTCTGAGGAGTAAGGCAACATGCTTGCTTCACAGATTCAGCAGGTGTAAGAAAGGAGAGTCAAACCCGGGTTAATTCCAAAACAGGTGATTTGGACAAAAAAAAAAAAAAAGGAAGTAAGATGTTTGGGTCAACTCATCTCTGGTTCATGAGGAAAATTAGACAGGTCATTCCATTTGTTTGTTTCATTAATATTATCAACTTGCAATATAACAAAGAACAATGTGTTTATCTTCTGCTCAGCTGGGCAGTCAGAGCAGAAAAGTAACGAGGAATATTAGTACAGATCCTGAGCTGTGAACATTGAGTAGATATTCCTTAATTTCTTTTGTGAGTACAAAAATGAACTTTCTATCTTAACAGAAAGGAAACAACCCTTAGACATCATCAAAGAGACCCCGATATAACCGCTTCTTTAAAAACGAAAAGATAATGTTTTACTCACATGACAGAGGAAGGCAATGCTAGCTCTATCAAATCAGGATAATTTCAGAGCATCAACACTTCAAGCTTTTAGTTTTTAACTGCTTTTTATGGTTCTCAGTAATTTCACTGTTGTTACTGTTTTATAAATAAATAAAATTGGTGCTCTCTGCAGGGATCGAACAGGAAAAAGTGGTAAGTTTTGGTAACAGAGAGAGAGAAAGGCAAAGAGAGAGGGGAAGAGACAGACAGAGTGATAGAGAGAGAGAGGAAGAGAGAGACAGAGACAGAGACAGACACAGAGAGACAAAGGGAAGGAGGGAGAGAGAAACAGAGAGAGGAAGAGAGAGGCAGAGACAGAGAGAGGGAGGGGACAGGGAGAGAGACAGACAGAGAGAGAGAAGGAGAGAGAGAGGGAGAGGGAGAGATCACTGGGAAGGAAGGAAAGAATAAACAGTGTGAAAACCACTCCAAGAAGTTTAAGTGAGGAGGCTATCAGACATGGTCTCTACGGGAGGAGGAAGCATGTTTAAGTGGGTGAGGTTTGCCTGATGTCCCTTCTTGGTCCCGGAGCTGCTGATTCAGTGCAGCCACCACCCGGCCTCCCCCTCCTGTCCCAGCGCCTTTAGATGGCCCACATAACACCCTGGTGGCCGTGCCCTCGGGCAGCGTCTCCCTCTTGTTCCCTCTTGGGAAGGAGCTAAAATAAACCCACGTTTGCCTTCTCAAAGGAACTTTGTGCAGCTTGGGGACTCGCTCTCTCCTGTGGTTTTTGAAAGTTGCGGGGGAGGCTCGATTCCCTCCCCTGGAAGCTGGTTGTCTTTCTGTGCCCCCAGCAGGGCAGCTTGGAGTGGCTTGAAAATGATGAACACTTGTCACTTTATGTTAGAAAGAAAGTGTTCCCATCTGTGGTTTCAGTTACACCTCAGGTTCAGTCTTTTAGTGAGTGAGGACAGGGCTAAATGCTGCTAGTCATTATCGACCTGCAAGAACATTCAGCAACCAAGAGAGGTGGTGGTGAGCTTCTGTGCCCAGAGCAGTTTCTGGAGGGGAAGGTGATATTACTGATATTACTCCCTCCCTCCTGGAGGGACAGATGCGTGCGCTAGGCTGTGTACGACCTCCCGAGTCAGGGAACTCAGATCCCATAAAGCACATGGGGTGTGTGTGGGGAGAACAGCAGGGGGCATGCCAGAAATGTCAGCTTTCAGGGATTTTTAGAAACATTTATTATTATCATTATTATTATTAATTATTATTTTTCTCCCCTCTTGGGCCAAATCATTGGGTCTTTCCACTCACTGTGATTGGTTTAGGCAGATCCAGCAATTTTGTGCCCTAGAGTAGAAAACAGAATGAGGGTGCCTGGGTGGCTCAGTTGGTTAAGCGACTGCCTTCGGCTCAGGTCATGATCCTGGAGTCCCGGGATCGAGTCCCGCATCAGGCTCCCTGCTTGGCAGGGAATCTGCTTCTCCCTCTGACCCTCCCCCCTCTCATGTGCTCTTTGTCTCTCTTATTCTCTCTGTCTCAAATAAATAAATAAAATCTTTAAAAAAAAAAAAAAAGAAAACAGAATGAGACCCAGGATAAGTGCTTCCCTGAGGCTCTATCACTAATTAGCTTTGTGATTTTCGGCAAATGATTCCCTTTCTCGGCCTGAATTTGTTTATGAAGGTGTTTAAACTGATCAATAATCTCCAAACCTTTTTTTTTTTTTTTTCTTTTCTTCCCCCAGCTGCGAGATGTATTTTTCAAATGGAATGTGTCCGGGAACTCCAGCGTACGGAACAAGAACAAACCCCAGCTCCAGTTGGCATGAGTGTCTGAGCAAAGGGCAGAGAAATGAGCCAGCTGGGCTTCCTGCCTCGAGGAGGCCTCCTCTGCCCCTGGGGGGCAGGCCCAAGGCTCCTTGCCAGGTTCCTGGGGCGTCACCAAAAGGAATGTGAAAATCCCAGAGTATTTTTAAAAAATTTTTTTTATTGTTATGTTAATCCCCATACATTACATCATTAGATTTAGATGTAGTGTTCCATGATTCATTGTTTGTGCATAACACCCAGTGCTCCATGCAGAATCCCAGAGTATTTTATCCACAAGATTCTTTAACATTGTGTACGTCTACTCTGTAAATGAAATGAGATCATGCCAGGGAAAGCACGGGGTAAAACCGAAAGCACATTGTGTCATTCCCGAGCTGATTCTGACTTTTTGGATGGAGCTGGAGGGCACTTGTTTCTTGCCTACAAAGGCGTGTGGGCCGCTGGCTTTGTCTGGCATTGGCAAGAACGAAACCCAAGGTACAGCTTCGGGAAGGTGGCTTTGTTCTCTTCTGTGAACACAAGAGCCTAAAAAAGTGTTGAGCAACTCAGGGAAAAAAAAAAAAAAAAAAGGAGAGAAAGAGAGAGATCTGAATGGCTTTTCTTAATAAAGCATTTCCTCTCATCGAAAAGCAAAACACAGGAGCCAGGGAGAGCAGGAGCCCCTGTTTCTGTGCTTAGTTACCACACTGATCTCACCACCAGGGCCACTCACTGCTGGGTCAGGGGAGGACAAGCTTGCTAGCACTTACCCGCTTGATCTGGAGGCCTGGAAGAATGACAGGGAGGCTAATCTCCTAGGAAAGCTGATCCCACTGGGCTCCTTGCCTTCACAGGTGGGGATTCACTCATTCACCCATTCATCTATTCATTCATTCATTCATTCATGCAGTCAGGACTAGCACAGCCTGCACACAATAGAGAACACTTGTGTATCCTTTTTCCAGATTCCCCAATAGTGGATTCCCAATGTGCCAGGTTTTTAGGCCACAGGAATGAGCAAGATTTCCCAGGTTCTTCCATCTCTGAAAATCTATTAAGACAGCAGTCAGATACCCTCTGGGAAGCCTGCCTTAACCTCCTGGTCTGGAGTAGGTGCCCCTCCTGCAAGCCCCCAGCAGCCGTGCTTACCCGTGTCAGCCACGTCTGTCCACTGCTACAGAAATTCTGGAGGTGGGGAGCCTGGGTCTCTGTTGTGCACAGCTCTGGTCCCAGAGGGCTTAGCAGAACACCTAGCACATAGTAGGTGTCCAATAAATACTGGGTAGAAGAATTTAACAGTACTTGCCACCGCACACTATGGGATCTAGTTACGTATCTACCTTCCTTCTCTACCTTCTTGATGGGCTGTGAGCTGGAGGTTCTTCCTGCCTGACATCACATGAACTGTCCCCCTGATGCAGTGACAAGGAATAAACCCGACCTGAATTCAAATCCAGGACCCTGGCAAGTCCTGCAGTGAGTAGCCTGTTTCAATTTGCTCATGTCTAAACATGAAAATAAAGACATAATTTCTACATCCAGAACCACTAAAAATTAGTTTAGAAGGAATGCCAGTGACCTGCCTAGGACAATCCATAGCAAATGATGGGCACATAGCGATTGCTTGCTATTAATAGAAACTTCAATTTGTTTAAACTTCTAAAGCTCATTGAATTGCTGGAAATATAGTCTTTTCCTCTCCATATACTTTTTCCAGATTTAGCAATTTTTAACATTCTGTTACATTTGTTGTATCAACTCATCTGTCTCATTCTCTCTCCCTCCCCCCATATATATATACACACACATCTGCATATATTGTTTTTCTGAGCCATTTGAAAATAGGTTACATACATTCTACCCTTTTACTCCAAATATCTCAGTGTGTACTTCCTAAGAATAAGAAAATTGTCTTAACCATAATTTTGTTACATTTCGAAAATGTAACATTGCTACAACATCCCAATATCCCATATTTGTCAGTTGTCCCAATAATGTCCTTAAAGCCCTTCCTCTTCCAGTACAGGATCTGGTCCATCTAGTGGTCACATCTGCTTTGTCTCCTTCAATCGGGAAGGTTCATTAGTCCATCTCATTTTCACAAATGGACATTTTGAAAGAATCCGGGCCAGTGTGGGTTTGTCTGCTGTTTCCCTGTGATTAGATGCATGTTATGCCTCCCGACAGCAATACTCATATGTGATGGTCTTTCCTTCTCAACACGTCACACCCAGAGGCATGTGATAGCCATCTGCTCCTCGTTGCTAAAATGTTTTGATCACACAAAATGTCATCTACTTTATCTACTGCACAGTTACTGTTTTTCCCCTTTCAACTAATAATCAATCTGTGGGGAGACCTTTGAGACCAGGGAAGTGTTCTCCTCCTCATCACATTTTCTCCTGGATTGGGCTTCATTGATAATTCTTGCCCAAGGGATCCTTGCTAGGATGGTTGCCCCTGGCGACTGCATTAACCCCACTGCTCTGTCCGTTTGTCTCATAGGCTTCCTCCTATAAGGAGGAGCTCTGAGTAGGCAAGGCAGTGGACCTAAGGAAACCCATTGTCAGAAGGAAATGGGAGCCTGGTGTGCTGGTGAGAGGTCAGGCTGGAGACAGCTTTGTACGTTAACCACAGAGAAGCCCTAAGAAAGACTGGGAACAAAGAGAGAACTAAGTCCAGGGAAACGGGACATTTAGCAGAGGAAGTGGAAAGAGGATTCAGTTGCTGGAGGCTCAGTGGTGCTTGGAGAGCCTGAGCACCAGCTGCAGGCAAAGGCAGGCTCCTATCCCACTCGGGCCATGTTCTAAACAGTTGACTGAGAAAAGTCTTTCTTCCTTTGGGTCTGTTTGTTCTCTTATAAAACTGTGACCATCATGCTGATCTCATAGCTTTTCCCCTTGTTTTAGACAGACACTGGATGTAAAATGCCAAGCACACCACTTAACATCATGTAAGTGCTCATTAAATGCTCCCCCTTCTCTTCTTCCTTTCTCTTTGTGTTGTTCAGATATTGCCATGGAAACATCCCTCTCTGCTTTCACCGAGGTCCCTTTAAAAATTTTGCAATTACTCTAAAAGATTGATTTTTTTTTTCCATCTGAAATGAGAAATTCTAAAGGTAATAATATACTACCTTTTCTGCTAAAAGTAAATTAAATGTAGGGTCAAAGCTGATTCTGAACTCAACTAGAGAGTGTCAGGGATGCTTCTGTTTCAAAATTGTTTTCATTATTTTTGTTAAATTAAATATAACTAATTAATTATTTTGCATAATGATAATATTGCCATTTTATCATTATCACTAAAATACAATAATAATTGCTACTTTTAAAGCTAGATATGTATTTGGCCTTTTCTAGATGTTTTACAATCAATACTTCTACTCCTCCCAACTGCCGTGCTGTGTCAGTATTCTCCCCATTTTACAGATGAAGACTTTGAGGCTCAGAGTATCTGTGAGAATGGTCAAAGCCAGGCAGTATGTGTACTATCTTCAGAACACGTATACTTTACACTCCAAATTCTTTCTGGACAATGGTTTCAATGTGCTGAAA